GGGGGGGGTTGAGAGCACGTCACAAAAGCTGTCACACGCCATCGGAAGATCAGGAACTAGGGTCCCCAGGATGCTAATACAAATGCAGCAGGGTTAGCAAATATAAGAAAATGATTAATTTATAATGAACTTAATGAAGTGATTAACTCCGCAAACTGTATGCGGAAGCATGACGTGCACATAATGACAGAGACACGCCTATATGGGCATGACAGAAAGTGAGGTGACTCGCTGGCCAATCAGGTGGCAGATATGATAATGAGCCGCCATATCCAGGTAGACCGTGGGAGCTCAGGGTGATGTGGGGGGCTGGGGCCTGAATCTCCTGTTACATGTGATTTCTTGCCCAGATTTAGGGAGATCATACTTTCACACTTTTATTGTACAAAACCTGTAGCCTAAACCTTTCAGGAAACCCCAAACCAGGTCCACATGAGGTGGAGGTGTCTCAATGCTTAGCTACTGTAGTGCCAAAAACTTGCTTGATTACCACAAAGCAGAACTTTTCAGCTACCTGGGTTAACTTAAGCTAGAAGTCATGGTTATCCAATAGGAATGCTCCTTACCTAAACTCTTATTGGACAATAATGACTTCTAACCAGTGTACGAAATACTGGGGGGTCCGGGGGGGGTCTGACACCCCCGATTAACCCATGAGACCCCCTGAAAGCCTCAAAAGCAAAATTTTAAGGGGGTCTCAAGATCGTTATTGCGCAACAATAGGGAGAATATTGACAGGTATTTCGCATACTGCTTCTAACTTAAGTTAATCTACCTAACTGAGGAATACTGCTTGGGCAATACCCCCCAGGTCTCTTTTGTAATTTTACCTCTGACCACTTGGGGGAGCTGGATTTCAGAGTGCACCTCCTCAGGTGAGGGGTATAGGAGGGGTATAGAGGAGATAAGCAGGAAATGGTGCAGTTTTACAGGGTAGCAGATCCAAGTCTCCGAAATGCAGAGAAAAGGAGGTCAGTAGGAGCCCTGGGCGTCACCCACCTCTGCTGTGCCGACAGGAAGTGGAGTCGCTGGCACAGGTGCTGGCATCATCGAAGCTGCTGGCACGGATGCTGCCGTCTGCGTGGGAAACACATCGGACATGAATGGGGGAAAAAGCCGCCTTCCAGCTGGGAACAGACTTAGGTAACTGAAACTTGGGGTTTGGGGGGCATGAAAGGCATATTAAAGAAGGACAAACATTAAAAGCCATCCATCCATCCATCATCTATCCATACATCCATCCATCATCTATCCATACATCCATCCAT